TCATTCGTTCGAAACGACATTAAAAGATGGGCATACTTGAAGACCAGCGCGATTCCGACTGTCAACTCGGACCGTTTGAAATAGGGACGACCTCAAACAAGACGCTAGCGTCATGTCCGAACTCAGGGGCCTGTATGTTGATACCAGAGCTTACTGTCTCAGCCATCCGTCAGGTCGGGAGAACTGTGAAGCCGAACCGGCAAAAGGGACGACTAGAACCCGATGCTGAATCGAAGCGCCGACAGATAAATACGGCGGCGCCACCCTTGAACCATGAATGAACGACTTGGAACCATGGCATAACGTCGAGTTGGTGAGGAGCCGACTCGGAAAAGTGGTCCTTGGAGCAGGAAGAACAACCGGTCTCAAGTGCCGAACTACCGGAGGCTGGGAGGCCGGGCAGGAGGACGTCACAGACAAAGATCGGTCAGCGAGATCACCACGAGTCCCGGGCGGAGACGTGCCGATGGGACATTTCGTGGGGACCGGTTATCTCAAAGAAGCAAAAACCTATGCCTAGGTCTAACAGCATTTAATGTACTATTTAATGCTGTAGGGGTCATCATTATTAATCTTCTGGCTGCATTAAATGCCTGACGCTGTCTGTCATTCTATTCCACTGTACAATAGGATGACATGAACAGTGATCCAACAGTGCTAGCTGAGAATAGTATAAATAGCTCATTTATGTCATCTTTAAAGGGAGTTGAACTCATTTATTTCAAGCATAACAGTATATTTTCTCTCTCTAAGAAACTTGTAACAATCCCCTATATCACAGCAACAGGCCGACCATAAGTGTTGAATGCCGAGCAGACCCCAGTTTAATGAAGATTTAATTTCCTTCATCTTGTTCTCTCTCAAATAATTTCATCGAATTTCGATTAACCGTTGGCCGGAATTATCCGTCAACATAACCGTATTTCGTGCAACCTTATTTTTTTTTTTATTCTTCGTGCAACCTTATGGGTAAAGTCTACTTTATATACTTACTTTAGATAAACTCAGTCGATCATTATTATGGTAAAACAGATAAACATGGCATGTGGTCAAAGTCAAACACAGTTTCATCCTTAGAAAAAGCAACCCTCAAATGAGAAAGTCACGCTCTTAACTTTTGATCATTATCATAAATTTGTCATTAACAAACATGAGAAAAATCCACAAAACCTCACGAAACGACCACCACGGGCAGGAGAGAGAGAGAGAGAGAGACCAAATAAAATAAAATACTACTAATAACAACTGGTTCATAATTCGATACTCTTGAATTTCTCACATTCACCGGCGGCAGCAACACTTTGACCAATAATGAATCGCCACCACCATCTCGGTAGATCCGTACTCTGCTCTCTACTGTTGCTGACCCTGCTTTTCCTCACTTGTCCCGCCGAGGATGACGTCAGGTGCCTGCGCGAGGTGAGGAACTCCTTCCCCGACTCCGCCGGCCGGTTCGACTCTTGGAACTTCGCCAACACCTCCGTCGGCTTCATCTGCACCTTCAGTGGCGTCTCTTGCTGGAACGACCGCGAGAACCGCCTGATCGGCCTGGAGCTCCGCGATTTCGCCCTCACCGGAGACATCCCGGACTCCCTGCAGTTCTGCCACAGCCTCCAAACCCTAGATCTCTCCGGCAACTCCCTATCGGGCCAGATTCCCTCGCGAATCTGCGATTGGCTGCCGTATCTGACCTCACTCGACCTGTCGCGAAACGGTTTGACCGGCAGCATACCGGCGGATCTCGTCAGCTGCTTGTATCTCAACACTTTAATCCTCGACGACAATAGGTTGTCTGGCGGCATCCCTTATCAGTTCTCGAATTTGGGGCGGCTGAGGCGGTTTTCCGTCGCGAACAACGACTTGTCTGGGAGGGTGCCATCCTTCAGCGGTGGCTCTGTGGTGGTCGATTTCGACGGCAACAGCGGGCTCTGCGGGGGCACGCTGGGCGAGTGCGGCGGGCTGAGCAGGAGGAGCCTGGCAATAATTATAGCCGCGGGGGTTGTTGGTGCTGCAGCCTCCTTGATGTTAGGGTTTGGTTTGTGGCGGTGCTATTTCTCAAAATCGAGCAAGAGGAGAAAGAGGGGTTCCGGGGTTGGTATGAGGGGAAACGGTGCTGCTGCTTCTGCTGGCAGTAGCTGGGCTGGGAGGCTGAGGGCTCACAAGCTCACACAGGTGAACTTGTTCCAGAAGCCCCTCAAGAAGGTCAAATTAGGTGATTTGTTGGAATCCACCAATAATTTCGGGAAGGAGAATATTATCGTCTCGAGTCGAACAGGGATGACCTACAAGGCGATTCTTCCAGATGGTTCGGCCCTTGCAATCAAGCGGTTGAGTGAATGCAAATTAGAGGAAAAACAGTTTAAAATGGAGATTAATCGGTTAGGGCAGTTGAGGCACCCCAACTTGGTCCCGCTCTTGGGCTTCTGCCTGGTGGAGGAGGAGAAACTGCTGGTCTACAAGCACCTCTCAAACGGGACACTAGGCTCAAACCTGAGCCAGGACACCGCCGTTTTAGATTGGCCAACCAGGTTCAAAATCGCATTAGGAGCCTCGAGGGGGCTTGCCTGGCTCCACCACGGCTGTCAGCCCCCTATCATGCACCAAAACATAAGTTCCAATATGGTTTTGCTTGATGAGGATTTTGATCCAAGGATAATGGACTTTGGCCTGGCTAGGCTGATCACGTCTTTGGATTCTAAGGACAGTAGCTTTCGGTGTGGGGACTTGGGGGAGGTTGGGTATGTCCCGCCCGAGTACTCGGGCACTATGGTTGCATCACTGAAAGGAGACGTTTACAGTTTTGGAGTTGTGCTTCTTGAGTTAGCGACTGGGCTAAAGCCCTTGGATGTGAGTAAGGTGGATGGGCTGTTTAAGGGTAGTTTGGTGGATTGGTTCACGCAGGTCTCAGGTAGTGGCCGGATTAAGGATACTATTGATAGGCGGCTGGTGGGGATGGGCCACGATGAGGAGATTGTGCGGTTTTTGAGGATTGCTTGTAATTGTGTGGTCTCGAGGCCCAAGGACAGGTGGTCCATGTATCAGGTTTATGAGGCTTTGAAGGGTATGGCTGACGAGCATGGATTGTCAGAACATGATGATGAGTTCCCTTTGTTTTCGACGCAGGAATCCCCAGGCCCTGTTTGAAACCGCGTGTTCTTTCGCAAGTTTATTTGGCATGTTGGTTAGTTATTGTTATGGTGAAATTGCTTGATATTTGCCTAATGTACGTTTGTAATTTACTCGGAGGATGCGTTGTACTTTGGATTCTCTGTTTTTTTTATTGAAATTTGTTCGTATGGAGAAATTATAGAAACTTTTAAAGACATATTAGAACTTTTAAAATTTTGAATATTTAAATGAAATTTTCGAGACTTCTAAAAAATTCAATTGTATTCGTTTCGATTTTTAAGTACTTTTTATACATTTTTAAAAAGTTTCCAGATATTCAATTGAAACTTTACAAATATCTCAAATGTCTCAATAAGTCCCGATATTCAAAGTATGAATATTTTATAAGACATTTTAAATTGGAAAACTTTTAAGACATTTTTTTTTAATAAATTTGGACTGCACACTATTCACCAGGTTGTAACGTCACTGGAGAACCGTCGTCGCTGGCGAAATTCGTCGTAGAACCTTCCTGTTGTTGGGTCGCCGACTTGTTGTGTTATCGCTTACAAACTGGGGACGTCGAGGTTGCTCTGCACACCTAGGCCTTGCCCGTGGCCTGCAGACGTCGCGTAGGTGTAGCGCGTGCATGGCGTGTCGCGCACGTCTCGCGCGACATTGTCAAACGTCGCCGAGCCACGCCCGCCCGCTGAGCTATTTGAGTGATAATTGCGCGTTGCCCACGTGCGTGTGCGTCCATAGCCCTTGCTTGTCATGCACGCTGCTTGGGAACTTAATGCCACCTACGAGACTTCGGTCAGATTGCACCCAGCCGCAAAATGGCCTTGTCATGGCCAAGCTGACCAGTGCCAGCGTTACCTCCCACACTAGCTGGCGCCGACAACTGCCACTTCTTCGTCGTTCGGTAGGCCGAGTTTGCCTTAACAAGAACAAAAATTACAGGATATTTGTTCTACGGCCCACGCATGAGTTTCCATGATTGATCTTAGGGCATCCACAACCCTATAATTTATTCAACTAAAAATTTACACTATATCTCTTCCACATCATCTTTTCACTAAACCTCTATCAATTTAAACACACATTCACAATCCTATATTCATTTAAGTACATATATGAGACTTATTATCCGCCCATTCATATAAATTTTAATAAAATAAAAATGCAATATTTTTAAATTATGATAATAATTTTTAAATGCATGAAAATAAAAGAACACTACAAGACCAAAATAACTTAAATTAAGATTACACAAGAAAAAAGTAGTAGAACTAAAAAAAAAATATAACTTTTTTAGTTGGTGGGAAAGTGAGTTCAAATATGCTCAACTAAGTCGACACGAAGTTGATGATGCATTGTGTTGTCTCGTATCTCTGAACGTCTATGAATGTAATTTTGAAATTCTCGATTTGAACCCTAGACAAGTTGTGCGGGCTCTTCATATACTACATCTCCTTCATATTCAACAATCATATTGTGTAGAATAATGCATGTCAACATAAAAAATTTCAGTTTTCTTCTATACCATAACTGAGTAGGACCTCTTACAATTGCCCATCGAGATTGAATTACCTCAAATGCTCTTTCCACATCCTTTCGAACAGCTTCTTGTTTTTCTTTAAGTAACTTTTTTTAGGATCTAATGGGAAAGGAAAAGACTTTACGAAAGTAGCTCATCCTGGATATATTTCATCTATAAGATAACACACATTTGTATATTGCGTGCAGTTGACAATAAAATGAATGTTTGGTGCATTTCCTTGCAATAAATTATTAAATTGAGGAGATTCATATAATACATTGATATTGTTACGTGATCCTGCAACACCAGAAAAGGCATGTGATGTAAGGAAGCGCGTACGAGTGAGAAGGATAAACGAGTAAACGAAATACTCTCTCGTAAAACACGTAAAACTCACAAAACACAACCAATTCTTATTTCATATTCAACTATCCCAATAACAAAGCATAACAACCCTTTAAATAAGGCTCTAACCCTAAACTTAGCTTATTCCCCAAACTAATCCCTGGACGAAATAAGGGCTTTCCACTGCTTAGCTTCTTCCGCTTATACAATGTCCCAAATATCATCCTGCTTATTTAATAGATAATAATAATAATAATAATAATAATCCTGCATCAGCATGCCGTATTCACAAATCGTGTGACAACCCTTTCAAGGACAATCGTAGGAGACTCATGCCTTCTTGTGAATTGGCTTTCCAAGCAACTGGACGATTTTTCCATTATCAGTGCATACAATCAAGGCTTCCAAGCATACCCGAAAAACCGTGATTTTCTTCATGCATTTGGAGGAGTCTTTGAACATCGATAATGTTTGATCTTCTCAAATATACATTACCTAAAATTTGAACCACACTTTCACAAAATTTTAAAAGACATTTGATAGCGGTTGATTCACCCATACATATATACTCATCAAAGTGGTCAGCTGAGACTCCATAAACCAACTGACGAATACTGTTGTGCATTTTTTAAATGGTGACAAACTTTGTCTTCCTACTGCATCAATGTTTTGCTGAAAAAATGATGATCGTGTACAATTCGAAGAAATAATTCTCTTTGCATACAGAAACGTCTACGAAATATATGATCTGGGTAGACTGGATGGTCAGAGAAATAATCACTTACAAGTCTGTCATGCCCAACTTCACAATTTCTTTGGATGAACATTCTTCTTCTATAAACGTCAGTTTCATGTTAATATGCTTGAAGTAACTGGTGGCATTGTTGCTTTAGCTTCGGCCTGGCCTCCGATCCTCAATCCGTTGATTCCGTCAAGCAAACATTATACTTGGCTTTCCTAACCTTTTTTTGAACCCGAAATTTCATGAGTCTTACAGGTTGGTACGAACTCTCTTATTCGCCAGAAGAGCTAATCGTTGTGTAAACCAGTCAAACCAGAGAAGCTTATCCCTAAAGGGAAAAAACAAGTCGAAAAAGCTGCTACTTTGCAGTCGCGATTGATGAAATCATTTCAACTTTTCAATCATTAGTGTCATCACCAACTTCACGGTCGGTGGATGATAAATGAATTAGACTCGGATCTATATGAATTTTGAGACATTTTTGGAAGATTAAAATTTAAAACTGTGTAACTAAGGTTTGCAGAATAATAACAATATGTAAGTTTGCGTTGAATATATACACATCAACATATATGTATATTGACTCATACATTGATACAAACAATTATTGCTATATATAGCTGCCATTCATAACCTATACATTATTTTCTGACACATTCATTTAGTTACCAAATTGATAAGCGTGCCATAATCCATGGCTTGTCTTTGACATGTTTATTTGTGTCAGCAAATTGATTAACTTGTCATAGTCATATCTTATCTTCTGACATATTTATTTTGATCAACAAATTGATTATTATAGACAACTATTGTCTATAGCTGTCATTCGTGGCCCATACATTATTTCATAACACATTAATTGAGTTATCAAATCGATAAACGTGCCACAACCCATGCCTTATCCTCTGGCATGTTCATTTAAGCCACCAAATTTATTAACTTTTCATAGTCATATCGCATCTTCTGACATATTTATTTTGACCAACAAATTTGATTAGTCATATTGTTTAAAATCTTTCGGTTACAAAGAACAATTATAGTGAAAGTCAGACCACAAATTTAATTTCGATCAAGAACAATTTAACGAGAGACTGACTAACAATTTAACAAGAACAAAAACGATTTAAATGAAATACAAGCTAAAAGTCCAATTTCATAAATCGCAACATGAAGAAATACAAGGATAATTAAAACAGATAATACAATGATAATTAAAACATACTAGTGGGTTTGAGAATTTTCTCTCCCTAAGATTTCTCTCTTGGAGCGCCTCCGACCATTGCATCCTACCTATTTCGCCTTGTCGAGCTTCTTTGTTTTGTGAATTCTGGTGTTGATTCCTGTTTCGATTTTGTTTCTCTCTCTAAGATTTTGTTGTCAGTAGGGTTCATCCCTTTTCTGATTTCGCCGCTTCCATCTCATTTTCTTAAGAAAGTTCTTCCTTTCTGTCCAAGTTTTTCTTCTCCATTTGCTTCAATTTCTTGCTCTCTTTGAATTCTCTCAAGGCTATGGAAAAATCTGAAAAAAGAAACAACAAAAAGAAACACAAACATAGCATGGCTCTCAAACCCCTCACCCAAGATGCGCCGGAATCCTCAGAATCTCTATCCCGTACGCTTGAAGGAGAGGAATCCCGCACCCTTGGATCTGAAGACACTCGCACATCTCCATCTGAACGTCACCAGGCCCGTGCTTCTATTTCCGACGACTGCTCGACGAACTCCAATGAACAACCAGTGAAGGAAGCTGTAGCTAGCCGGGAGTCAGCCGGTGCAACAGCCTCTGCTTTCCTTCCTTCTGGCTAGTCCAAGGCTTCTAGTTCCGGTGACTCCGCATCGGACTCTGGCAAGCAATCAGAGAAGGAAGTCGACCCCAATCCGAAACTGAACTCCAAAGCAACCGGGAAGCCTTCCGAGCAGCCGATTGCCAATTCTAAGGTAGTCCATTTTGCTACAGTCGAGTTGACAAATTCTGACCCAAATCCAATGGAGAAGACTACGGCGAATGGTAAGTCAGGTAAGCATGCCACTGATTTCCCTAAAACTTGGGCTGATGTTATATCTGATTCTGATGAATTGAAATTATATTTTTACCCGACTGATGATGAAGTTGTTACTCTTGAAAAAGATGATTTATCAAACTTTAATGATGACTGGGGTAACTGTCTCCTCGGTCGTGCCGCGGGCCCTTTCCCGGGCATGGCAAACATTTAACGACTAGTAAACTATTGGGGGGTAAAGTGTGACATACTACCTTTCAAAAACAATTGTGTTATTTTTCGTTTCCATTACCTTGAGGAAATGGAAGACGTGTTGCAAAGAGGCCCTTATTATTGCGCACGCCGGCCATTTTTCTTAAAAAAACTAGCACACGATATCTCTTTTGAATCCAAAGAAATTTACTCGG